CTGGCACCTAAATTTAGAGGTCTAAATTGTGAGGTCAATCCCTCAAGGCTCTGCTACCATTAACAGAGAGAGGTAGCCTTGCATCCTTATTTCCTCCCATATGTTTTTCAAGGCTGTCCAGTAAGTTGAATTCACAGTTGATTTAGATGAAAAATAATAGTTTCAGGTGGTTTTTTGGCATGTTAAGTTTTCAGCTGGATCAGCTGATCTGTCTGACCATGTATGTGCACAATCGGCAATAGCAGTATGACAAGTGCACAGGCCTTACTCTGAAACTGGCCGGAGCCAAATGGAATGACCTCTTCAGAGAATAGCTTATGGCACCAATGTAATTAAATTAGATGGCTGGCAAAGAATGACATGCATATTGTGTTAAAAAAAACTCATGGAAAGAAAAGAAAACTCCATCAAATGACTTCTAAGCTTACATAAAATGTACATAGAGGCAAGGACAGAATCTGTATTCATTGAGTAGCAGTCCAACTATCTTTACACTTAAATTTTCTTTCTACAGGTTCTGCTTCATTCAAATGGTATGTAATAAAAATTCTGCAACAAATAAGGCAGTTTTTCAGAAAAAAAAATCTAATTCATCACATGCTTACAGGGTTTTTTTTCCATACAGTGAATAAAACTGAAATCCTTTGGGGAAAAAGCAGTATACAGTAGTTAATGCAGTGTCTTAACAAATACAGACAAAGAGGGAAAATTACTTCAAATAATTTAAATAATTATAACTTTAATAATAACTTTAAATAATTGCATTTGAAAACAGAAAGGTATTTTCATATAGGTTTCTGTATCTGACTACAGAGAGCTTAAATGGACAAAACCAAGCTCCAGAAATTTCATCATGTGAAATTACAGGAATGTCAAGTGGTAGGGTAAGAACACTTTGGGCATGTTGCCATCTCAGTTGCAGAAATTGATTTTTAAATAACTCATCATTTTCAACAATCTTTTACATCTTGTTACAGAAAATACATAAACATGCAGCTAAGAACCATAGAAGTGGCCCAAGTCCATTAAAATTGATAGACCTTCTATGGACCATAGATCAGCCCCCATGAGTATAAAGCAACATCCTCAATATGTGGCAGTGCACTTTTTCTTTTCCTTTTAAGTACTTCCACAGGCAAATAAGTATTTTATAGAAACATATATCTAGTATAATAATAGTACAGAAAATTTAGATTAATTTGCTCCAATGACTTCTATAATTATGAGGAACAAATCTGTAGACACAGAAAGAAAACAATGTCTGCCCTTTTTAATTGGTACTCTGCTATGTATTATCATTCTATTGCTTCTATTGATGTCATGTACTTCACTTGTTATGGTATCAAACAATCCCATGTACACTTTTAGAAAAAAAAAACATAGGGTGACTTACCATCTTGTGAAACGGCAAAACAGTTAATGTTTAACAGTGATGCACAGAACAACTGCTCCTTTTTTGTTTGTTTAATACATACTGAAGATACCATGGTTTGTTTCACAATACAAGCACTTTCAGAAAGTACATTAAAACCCATGGATATAAATTAGAACACAAATTGAGGGTTCTCCTTTTTTATGAGGTAACAACGGGATCCCGTGGAGGTGTTTATTGGACCAAGTTAAGTGGAAGCATTATCAAGTTTTTCTTTCAATGAAAAAATGTCAAATAAGAAGAGTTGAATTCCACAACAGCAACACCACAAAAAACATTAAATAGATTTAACAAGTGAAAAACACTTCTAGAAGTAAATCCACCAAACTGAATGAAGCGGCACTAAAAGCATTAGACAATTCTAACTAGCACCCCAATTTGTGACCAATGAGACTCTAGTTTTAGCATAGCTCTCAACATTAGCATCTACCATCAATAGATTGGAAAATATATATGAGTGCTTGCAGACTTTTCATTAATTTTGTTACAGAAAGCAACATGGACCAGAGATTTTGTCTATGAAGAAATGGGGTGATAAAGTAAAATGACAGCTGCACATAAGGCCAGAAAAATCAAATCAAAATTTGCACTCTGTGCATGAATTGACTCCATATTAATATCATACTCTAATTATCTATTTATAAAATATAGTCATTTTAAGCTCTGTGAAGAATAATGATTGGTATTTTAACTCTGAACTTAGCTGTAAATCACACTATGCAATCATCTTAAAGTAACAGGAGACACATACTAATATCACACACTACCAGGTAAAACAAAGCAAAAAAGCAATGGAACAAAGGTCCATTCCTTACTGTCCTACACCAAGTGTGCCCAAGACAAGAAAGGATGGTCATTACTGGAAGTCCTGTGCCAGGTGTTTTGCTCTCTCTCCCTGTCCTTACTTTCCCCCAATAGGTTACATGTCCTCTTCATTTTTCCCCCGACTTGTCATTCACAGCTGTTTTTCCCCATAGTTTTTTTTTTCTCTTTAGTTTCTTCTCAGAAGGAAACTTTGTTTTAGACAGACTGGAAACCAACTTCAAGGCAAAAATCAGGAGCAGCTGCCTCATGCAGATACCATGGAAACACCTAAGAACAAAGCGAGTACACAGTAACTATTTCCTGAGAACATTCCTCCAGCATCCAACCATTTGCAGTTCTTCTTAAGCCAAATGTAAATATATTTTCCCCACCTTTTATTTTTCTTATATATTTCATCCAGCTGCCTAATTTTTTTATGCAAACTTCCACCATCTACATAATCTCACAATAATAGATGTCCACAATTTAATTACAGATGGTCTCATGTTTATTTGATATAGTAAAGCTGTAAAGGTAGTTTGATTGATAGAAAGAAATATTTAATGGACTTTCTGCTAGGAAACCTCTTTTTTTTTCTCAATGGATTTTTGAATGTTTCATTTGAAAACTTCTGTATTAACTAATTTAGGCAAAGAGTGGCTTATACTTTGCACACAGAACTTCTCATCTGTGTTTTGCACTGCACCACACAAAATGCTTCCCTGCAGCAGTTCACATCTGAGGGCTGTTACCTCCCTATGACAGCATGGTATTAGCTCCTCGTGGTTTCAGTGAACACTCGCATTAGAAAGTAATCTGCTTTTTTAAAATTGATTTTGCAATCTACAAAACCTTGATCCAGTAGGGGAGACTACACAATATATCCAATGTGTACATAATATGTACATGAGATGTTTGTAGTTTGGTCCATAGACTGATAACTTCGTACTGCAGTTCCAAACTATTGTTCTATGCATTGCAGACTGAAGTGTCATTTGATTTATTAAAAAAAAATCAAGACCATATACTACTGACTAAGTAATATGAACAGAGATAGAAGTTCTAGATAGCAGTATTAAGATATTTAAAAACATCTTCACTGGAAATTATGCCACAACAAAGACAGAGAAAATGTTTATTTGTTGTTGTTTTTTTTTTTAAAGAAGCACTACTGATTGTTTCTAAAGAAGCAGTAGTAATGTACTGAAAGGCTATTTATTATTTTCTTTTAAATGTATTTCTAAAGAAAAAGCCATAATTATCATCTTTGTAAAGATAGGGGGAAATTACCTTTTCTATGTTTCAAGAAAATTATATCCTTCTGGGCCTTTAAAATGGATATCAGATTGAAAGAACCATCTTCTCTACCAAACATACATATCTCTGACTATGCCTTTTGACAGAGCTAAAGGAAGTAAAGTATCTTTACATTCAATAATACTCCTCATAAAAAGAATGCACTTTTTTTCAATTTCACTTATTACTTTTCAGTCTCAGCATGAGGTATAGAATCTGTAATTTGTCTTAGGTTCACTGCATTCCCTTTCACTGTGGAGTAATTAATGAGTTTCAAACCCTTATATTTAGGCCATAGCATTAGAAACAGCTGTTCCTAGGAAGGCTTCTGGTTCCAAACAAAACTCACCAAAATTCATGGGAGATCAAGAGACAGAGGATTCTGTGAGCATTCTCCATCAGAAACCTTAATGACTGACCCTGCTGACATACCCATGCTATTTGCTCATCATTGAAGTTCTAAATTTTGTACTCTTGCAATAAACTGTAAAGTTTCTAGCTAAGATATGGGGAAAAAACCCTCAAAATGTGATCCTAAAGCTTTAAAGAGAGAAAGCAAGAGAACAGAATCTATAATCTATAAAAATAAGAAATTCGGTTCTCAACCCATATTTTAGGTGCCTGAAATCTCAGGGCTAGGACACCACTAACCTGTAGGTAGCTCATGAATGCAAATAAATCAAGATCCATGCGGGCACTTATATTTATTGGTCACCTGCACGGTCAATTCTCTTCAAAACCGCTAGTCTTTTAATGTTGTTTTTAGGAGAGTATACCTGTCTTTGAAATTATAAAAGCTACTAAAAACACCCAGCACAGAAACTAAGACTTGCAGTACACTTATTGATAACTAAATGGTACCTAATAATATTGCTTGCTTAAGTTTAAGCCTTAACAAACTTTGAAGGAAATCCAAGCACAAACTAGAATGGTTCTCTTCTAAAATTCAGCAGGAGTCTTTACCCTGCTGCATGCCCTGTCGGCATCCGCAGCTTTATTACTACAGCTTTTGTTTCGACTTTCAGCGGCAAGAAACAGTCATTTCAGCGTGACTTGCTAAAAGGGCCTTGAAAACGACACTTTTAAGGCGTTACACAGCAGCAGCCGCGGCCTAGCGCAGGCGCCCCGGCGCACGAGCGAGATCCAGCACCTCGGCCCCCTCTGGCCGCTGCGGCCGGGGCCGGAGGCGGGGCCGCCCGCCGCTCTTCCGCCCTCGCAGGCACCATGGCAGCTGGCAGAAGCGACTTGCCGGCACCGAACAGGGCACATCCCCAGGCGTGAGGCTGCCGGCGCCCTGCTCCGCCAGAAATGCCGGGCGCTCACGGCGGCCGGGCCAGCGGGGACCCGCGTACCGGCGTACCCGCGACCCGCGTGCCAGCGCGGAACCGGGCGGCGCGGCATGGCCGCTCGCACCGCCCCCCTCGCACCGCGCCGCCCCGGACGGGACGCGGGGCGGAGCCGCGGGAAGTGGCGGCCGCGGCGGCTCGTGGCTGCCTGGGCGCTGGGCTGGTGGCGCGGGTGCCCCCGGGTTGACGCGGTTCTCCGCCCCGCCATCGCTGGCCTTCTGCCTCTCGCCGCCCGGCGTGACCCGCGCCTCTCCTGCCGCCTCCGCGCAGCCCTGGCGGTGCAAGGCATGAAGCTGAGCAAAGCCCAGTACGATGAGATAGCCCAGTTCCTGGGGCACGTGCAGCCCACCCGGCAGAGTCTGAGGAAGCTGAAGGAGAAGTTTCCTAGGTAAGTGCATCCCGCCTTCCGGCGCGGGGCCCGGCGGCGGCCTGCGGGCTCGCTGTGGCCGGGTGCGGGGCCGCGGGGACCGCCGCGCCAGCTCCGCCCGGTGCTCCAGCTCAGGCCACACACGGTACAAAATCACCAGCACACGCACACGGTCATCGACTGCCACTGGGAGCAGGATACTGCTCCACCCTCTGTGACCTGAGAAGTTGGCACAAAATAAAGAACACTTCCCCCTACACACGTCCAAGTGAAAGCTTGGGGCCCTTCATGAGCCTCTTGGACACCAAGGAGGTCTTCTGATGTGAATAAAGCCTTACGGTGCAGAACGAGCCTCTGTGGCTGAAGCCACTTGTGAAATACATCCTGCAATGCCAGTGCCCCTGTTTCTTAGGGATAAGGGACTTTATGGATCCATGGAATCCATCCATAGAATGCTGCTGCATTCCAGTTGAAACTGGAAAAGGGATCATCTTTTCACTTAGGGCCATTCATGTGCTTCTTTGACTGAACTGTGTTCAGAATTCTCGAAGACATTTGCAAATGACCATGCCTGGGATGGAAAAGTATCCATCACAGGATGTGCTCCATGCACCAATCTTTATTGCTGAAATTTACTTCCTACCAACTACAACAGAGTTCTAAAGAATGTTGCAAGGTTTCACTTTCCTTTCACATTTGGGGGAAGGACTGCTGTTGCTGAATTGGACAGGAAAGCAAGTTGGGTTCTGTGGAGAGAAGAGTGGTGCTGTTTCTAAAATCACAAGAAATAATACAGAAAAATGTAGGGAGTTAGATGCTGTATCTAGTTTGGTGAAAGAGAGAAATTAACAAAACAGAAAATCATTCACATGCTTCCTGAATGAACCTTGCTTGTCTTAACCACAAATGCAGCGGAAGAAACTGACACTGTGTGTAACTTACAGTATGTGAGTGAAGAGCCAACATTACTTAGGCTTTTGAACTGTCCAGTGAAATCCTTTCCTTTTCAGGAAAGTGTGAGAGAATTGCCCTGTTACAGAGAAGAAGTGATAAAAAAGCGTTGTGGTTGGTTCAGGGAGTGCATTGAGTTGCATTTTGGGAACCCAGCTCACCTTGCACAGTACTTCTGCAACTTGGAAAAGCACTCACCATAACAAAGTGTGTTTCAGGAACTTAGACTTGGCTTTATCACTTCAGTGCTAATGAAATCAGGACAGAGTGTTTGTGGGTACTTGTGTGTGCATGCATACATACACATGCACGTTCTCTTTCTCTACTCTCCTTATAAAGTTGTCTTGAAAGAAGGTTAGAATTTGGGTTGGTTTTCCAGGTCAGTCACTGTTTTTAGGAACCTGCTTCCAAGACAGATCCATAGGCACATGAGTGTTTGTTAGTCAAATTTGTCCAAAAAAGACTGGGCTTTTCTGATATGTTTTACTTCCCAGTCCACTCACTGGGTGATGTAAAAGATCTGTTAAATCCTCTGTTTCAGAACTTGATGACTCCTAAACAACTATGTGTAACTAACAGTATAGGGTTATTTAGGAAAAGAATTCTGTTTGTTTTTTTTTCTAAAGGACCTGGCTCAAGTGTGGTGAACACTGAAAAGCAAAGGTTAGCTGTAGTAGTTGCTTCCACAATTAAGTGGCTATACCTTTATGTTGTTATTCACATTATGACATGAGAATGGTGTGTTCTGAATTTTGCTTGTAGATCTCTCCTGGATTTTATTTGCCCATGCTAGGAGAAGGCTAAAACCTTCTATATGAGCAATGAATTGATAGCTTTTTAAAAATTGCCTGTCTTAGATATATTTTGAGGAGCTCTGTACATCTTCTTTCTGTAAGTGTGATATTTCTTTGTTGTCTCTTTGTTTATTTCTCATAGCAGGCCAGATGCAGAAGATAAGCAATACATTCCAAGGCCACTGCTTTCCTTAGCAGTAAGGAAGGTGTGTTGAAATAGACACGTTAGGATGTGGAAAACAGGCATTCTCTATAACCCTTATGTTATAAAAGAGGCCAGCTGCAAGCTGCAGAGATTTGTAAACCTGTATACCATCTGAAGGGGGAGGCTTTTTCAGTGATATGTTTGATAACTGTGGAGTGAGTAAGTTTTTTTTATAATCTGGAAATTTTGTCATTCTCTTCCAGGACAAGAAGGGTCTGACTGGACTTTCTGGCTGGATTTTTTTATTTTTCTTTATGAAAGCCAGAATCAACTAAAGCCCTCCACCCATCTCTACTTTTTCATTCAGTCTTTTTAAAAAAATATTCCAGAATCTGTCGTGGTACCTACAATGTGATGAAGGTGTCCATAGCCAGTTTCTCATTATTATATAGTAACAGTTGCTGATTCAAACTGGAAAGTAGTAGCATCCATAATAGCTGCTTTCACCTTGCACTTTCAATCTTTCCCTGGGAAGGATTGGAATTTCGCTGGTAATGTAATACATAAATTGACAGTTTTCAAATATTTCTGGTTCCTACTGCCTCATAGATCTTGTGGGTCTTTGGATTTCTGCATTAATCTGCTCAGTTTTTTTCTAACGCTGTCTTATCTCTTGGCTCTTCCCTCAGCTGTTGCATTTCCTGAAGCCTTGCATTTTATGCTCCTAATTTGTATAAAATCTCTTTCGTGCTATGTGAAAGGGCCTACTCTTGTTGTGCAGTTTCTCCCTAAGAATAAATTGTAATTTCTGTAAGCAATTGCCACAATGTAGTGCACAGGTATGGTGGGTGGTAGCTGCCACCCAGACCTGTGAATCTAAAAAAATTTTAACAGGGTGCTTTACTATTATTGGACTACTTCAGGAGGTGAGATTATTACTTCAAATGAGTATTGTCATGTGACTTATTAATGTCAAAAAGTCAAAATTAAACTGCTTCTCATACTGTTTATAAGTATTTTAATACAAGCATTGGGAATTCTTATATTTTACAACCCTGTAACTTTCCATACAACATGGATTTACTCTACTTTTCTTAAAATCCAGTTATTTTGCAAAAACTTGGATACTGAATTGCTGTTCTTTTTCTGTTAATGCTGTGATTTGTATTTCATGCCTGGCAATTACCAATGTATTATTCATTTCTTTATTCTTAAGGTATTTGTTACATCCTTAGCAGTTGTCTCCTAACATGTTCTCATTTAACAGCAGGGTATTTAGATGACCTGAGGATTATCAAAATGTGATTTTAAGCACTAAGCACAATAAATCTCTGCCAATATTGGATCACTGATCCGTAGTTCCTTTGATCTTTTTCACACATATGCCACTGGACTGATAAATCTGTATATTCAGTGTTGTGCTTTTCTGTTGAAGTATACCACATTTTCTGCTTAGTTTCTCACCTGAATTTTTCTATTTGCTAATAATTTGTGGTTTTCTTTGCTATTTTTGTATTATATTCTTCAGCTTTCCCTTCAGCTATGGACTCCTGTTCTTCTGAGATACTATTCTTCTCAATGACAGCTAAAGTCTAAATTGAATGAGCCATTTTAGGACTGGTTTTAGGCCATTGCAGGAAATGTTCTGAGAAAGTTAAAATCCTTTTTTCTCTCTTAAATGGTGGTTAAGAACTGCCTACAAGTAGAATCTTCTAGATACAAATCACCTTAGAACTACCTATTTATAGTGACATGTTAGACCTTCAAAAATTCTGTCTTTTTTCAAAGACTATTTTAACTTGTTCTAAAAAGTCCAACTTCTGAGAGTTAAATTCATACCCAAACTGATAATTCTAGTACTTCAGTTTACTGTTTTGTTTCAGTTCTTCTGTATGTGGCAGAATACATTGTTTCTCTCAGAAACCTTTTCTAAAGCTTCTTGTAGGTAGAACACAATTGACTTATGAGTATACCCTTCTCAAATATATACCTTGTACATGTTTTCACCTTCTTCTTTGTATCCAAGTCTGATTGATTATTATAGTCTTCTTGACCAAATCTTTGTCTTGGTTTAAGAGAATTCGAAGTGGAATTCTCCTTTGTTTTCACCAATCCCTTTCCATCAATAAGGAGAAATAAAATACAAGTAGATGTAAGTGAAAAAATTAGCAGTTTACTAACAAGTGAGACTGCAAAAGGCAAAAATAAGAGTAAATAACCACTAGATAGAAAATTGCTAAATCTCACAAACTCCCCCAGAACAAAGAGAGACCCAAAATGGCAAAAATATCCTTTCCAAGATGGTGCCTGCCATGGGTGACGACTGTAGGGAGAGAAAAGGAAAATGGCGCCAGACCCTGCCCCTGAGATGGCGCTTTGCAGGTGATCGCATGGCCTGGGAGACAAAGGGGAGGGATGGCAGCAAACCCTGGGAAGGCAGGAGCTTACAGAGCATTTCCAGCGGCACATGAGAAGTACTAGCACCTGTGGGGTCAGTGCCACTGCTCCCCAGACTCTGACGGTGCTGGTGCTGATGTCTCTGAACTGTGGATGTGTTGTGGAGAAGAAACCGGTCTGTCAGCCCTGGTATGAGGTGACTGGGCCCCAGCAACCAGCTGGCTTTGCAAAGTTCACCCCAAAACAGTTTTTAATTGTAAAATGCAGTTTTTCCAAGTGGCTACTATTGCAAGCCCAGGAAAAAACCGCAAACAGCTTCCCAAAGTAAGCCCTCCAAACCAGAGCGTCCACTTTCAGCACGTACTGCCAGCAGTGAGTTTGTTCCCCACTTCCCAACTCCAATTTAAAAAGGGACTGCAGCAATGTCCCCTCTGCCCTGTGGTTCCAGTTCGGGATGCGCTGGATCTTAAAAGAGGCCCTAACAATTTTTGGGTGTGGACGGAGATGGAATATAGTAACATTTGGGTTAACCCATGACAGTCTTTCTCTGGTCTCTACCAAACTTTCTAAGGATGTAAGCTTTGGTGACCCAATTCATTATGATACTGTCTTGAGTTTTTTTTAATGTGAGAATTTTTTCTGGTTTGGTTCTGTCCTGTGTTCGAGTTTCTTACACCAGGTTGTGCTCGAATTGGTGGTTCCAGAAACTTTCTAGCCTTGAGCATCTTTTAGTA